ATTTCTTTCATATCACTTAAAAATATCATCATTTTAACTTTTAAAAGCGAAATATACTTTTTCATGCACATGTAAAATGATATATTTATAAAAATTTAACTTTAGGTGCCAAATAGTTAAGTATGTGTAAATCTTTCTAAAAAAAGCTATTAAAAATTATATGTTAATTATATAAATACAAAGATATCCACATCCACGACCACAATTTTTATGTATTTATCTATGCAACACATAAGCTTTCCTATTTATATTTATAACATTAAAAATTGTAAAATTACATAAAAAATATTTCCATTGTCAACTTCTAATAAGTACAATAAATTTTTTATGCATAGATTTATGACGCACTTTTGTCATGATTAGTGCTCTAAATAAGATGAACCACTTGAACTCGACTTGATTAATACTAAATCTGGTTTTTCTTAAATTATTAAATAAATAAATTTAAATATTTATAATTTAATATCAATATTTATATATATATATATATAAGTTAATTCATTTTTTTTTATCCCCTTAACTAATTTATTACTATCTATTTATTTTATTAAAAAAATTTACTTGCAACTTATATATTATTTTATTTATTTAGTTTAAATTAATCCACATACTAATTTAAAATTATAAAATTATTTATTTATAGTTTTATATAAAAATATCACTCATTTAAAATTTTAATTTATTTATAAGTATGAAAATTAAAGCACAAATTTTTTAATTTACACGCTGGAATAGATAGCCGTTAACAGCCCTGATCAAGCTTGCCGACATCAGAGAAATGTGCGGGCTTTATCCAATTGCTTGCCCTAGATCTGCAAGTGGGCATTAGGTATGGTGGCGAAATCCGCGGCGGCACTGGAGCGGTAGACGTGAGTCGGCGATTTCTTCACATCGCTTTGTCTTCATTATCATTCACATTAGTTGTGTTCAACCTTACATCTCTGTTTCCTGCACCTCCATGCAGCTGTTTTCTTGGAAAATGTTGGGATGTGAGTTTGGAAACTTAAATATAAATTCAATGCTTTTCTACGAATAAGAAAAGAGAAGGAGAAGCAGTGTTGATAATCAGCATTTCTGCATGAAGGAATTAGAGTTAGAAGAAGATATAAGTCGCTGATAAAGGTGAAGAAAAATACAATTTAAATTGTCAAGATTGAAACAGGAAGCAAAAATCTGTCTTTTTTCTTTTGCCCCTCAGTCTTCAATCTCATATATACAAACTGCCTACCAAAACATCAGCTAATACTGGTAATCAGTACATCTTCTCCAGCAGTTTTCATTTGTTAGGATTTCCCATAAATTCAATGGCCCAGCGTTTTAAAAAATATCAGCTAATACTTATATTTATGATGTTAGGAGTTAGTTATATTGTTAGTCAGTTTATAAGAAATATTTTTAGGATGGTATAAAATGATATCATCATAAAATTAAATTATGCTAGATAGAATGATAAATTTTGTAAGCTACATTGCATTTAATGTTTGGAAACCTTGTTTAATGTTTTTTTATGAACTTGTTCAAGCTTTTATTTTTCAGCATATATAACGTTGGGATAATCTAATTTTCTCAATTATCTATTTCATTTCTTTCATCATCCATGCTCTCTAACACTCTTGTCTCCTCCTCTGTATTCTTGGACATGGACACATTTATTTTGAAAATTTACTACCATAAAGCATTACTTCTGCACCTAAATGTGATCACATTGTTTCCAAGGGTTTGAGACCAGCCTTGGTGACCCCATCAAGACCATACGGGAATGCCCTTAGCCCTGCACTGTGCAACTGTCACTAGATTCTGGCTAGGCAACATCTTCTATATGTTTGCTTAGAATTAGGGTTAGGGTGTAATTAGATTTTTCACATGCGTGGCTATTATGTTGATTTATTTGCTAGAAATCGTATTTTAATTGTTGTTTTGTCTGTTTACTGGGTATTAGACGTGCACACTAGTATATTAAGATCAATTTTAATATAGTGTGTCAGTCTTAATACAGTGAGTCATGTCCAACAATGACTCACTTAAATAACTGAGATCTAACTAACATATTTTCTGCAGTTGCTGCTTTGCTCTCCAACTATCAGACATGACTCATTTTCTCTTTGTATGCTTTATACCCATGTTAATTTCTGTTTTGCAGATCGAGTCTTTGTCTTATACTTTTTATATGTATTTCTGAGAGTCCCTAA